TCAAGTTGTTTGTTGTTTTAATAACAAGTGACTTAAGCAGTCAGAGAAAAATTTGTACCAGGTAATTGATTGCATAGAGTTCTGTATTAATAAAACTTACAGTTGCATAGTGTTTTACAGCTTATAGACCAAGGTCTCATACATTTCAATTTGTGAGATCTGTGGGACAGGACATGTCTTCATTTTACAGGTAAAAAAGGCTGAGAGAGGTTGTATCTTAGGGCTGCTAGGTAAAAAAGTTTAGATTTACACTCCAGCCCTTACAACACCATGATCAATGTTCTTTTATTACTTCATACTAATGATACAGAATTCTGTGTTTAATCTTTCCCAACTACCAGTCCACATATTTTTACTGGTCTGCAAAATTTTGACCACTATTGCCCCTTCTTAAAAGTAACTAACTTAAAAAACAAACCTCTGCTCAACAAATTAAATCAAACCAACATTAAGTACCTGCTATTTGGCACTCTGCTAGTCAGTAAGTCAATAAACTTTTATTAAGCACCTACTCTGTGCCAGGCCTTATGGAGGGGGGTGGGGAGGGTGGGGGTAGAAGTGGGGAGGGGTTAGGAAGAGGGGAAAGTAAAAGAAAAATCTGAAGTTTTGAGCCTGGAGTGATAGGTAAGGTGCTAGTGTCATTAATAGAAATCAAATTAACAAGCATTTATTAAGTACCTGCTATGTACAAGGCATTGTGCTAAGTGCTGAAGATAGAAAAGTAAAAACACTCCTGCTCTCATGAGCCCATAATCTAATTGGGGAGACGACATGCAAACAATGATGTACAAACATACAAACAATGATGTACGAACAAGATATATACAAGATAAATTGGTGATAATCGTAGAGGGAGGTTTGGGGCAGAGGGAAGAGGAGAGAGAAGGATGAGATTTAATGATGGGAAGTTGGAGAGATGTAAGATCAGATACCTTTTCTCATATTCTTATGCCTCCCTATATCACAACTCTGGCATTGCCAGGCCAGATTTACTTAAAACTTAGGTTTAGTTGATGTCTAAGATTTCTTCAGAGGTGGGGGGCAATAGAAAAGGTAAAGTGAGAAAGGTGTAGGCATTCTAATAGTTCATTTTAAGTCTGCAGTATGACAGACACCCATGCCCCTCATTCATGATAAACACTTGTGGACCTATGAATTGAACTGCAGGCTTACCCTGCTTACCATGGTTAATTTGGTTCTTTGAAGCACAGTGATACAGAATTGTAGGTGCAGTGAGTCTGTACATATATCCCTGAGGGAAAGACTATTCACAGAAAAGGGTGTGGGGGGAGACTCTATCAATTGTTTATATAATACTCTAAGGCCTTTATGACCATTCTGCATTTTATGTGGGATGAAACACAGACTTTCTTGTACCTGAAAAGAAAGTAAAGGAAAAAACCCACGTTGTTAGATGAAATATCACAGGAAAAAGTTAGTGCCACAGGAAGTGTCAAAAAAAGGGATAATGGGCCAAGTACTCTTTCTACAATATTTTGCTGTGCTATGGTGGCTTTTGTGTATTTTGTAGTAACAAGATTATTGTGAAAGTGGTCACTCAGTAAACATTGTGCCTGCTATTTGCTATGCACTGTACTGGGAATTTAAAAAAAAAAAGGTAGAAGACCGCCCCTGCTCTTGTGCTAGTGAGGAGTTCGCAATCTAGTGGAGGAAACAACGTGCTAATAACTAATGTACAGACTATATATAAACAGGATCATTGGAAATAATCAACAGAAGGAAGGCATTAGAATTCAGGGGAATTGGGAAAGACTTCCTATTGAAGGTAGGATTTTAACTGGGACTTCATGGAAACCAGGGGGTGGAGAAGAGGAGGCTGTGCTGTATATGTGTTATCATCCTTTTTAACCTAATAGGTTTCTCTGATTTCAGAATATCATAACATGGTAGGAAAAATTAGAGTTTAGTAAGTGGTAAGATTGCAAGTGAAATAAATAGCATCAACATACAATGCTTGAAAACTTTCAGTGATATATTGCAGAAAATAAAGAAAGAATTCTGGTGATTTTTTATAATGGGGGAATGAAGTACATGCCACTCTATTTTCTCCAACAATAGAATGTTGCTACATCGCATTTTATGTTTTCATTTAGGTAATGCTTCTATTATACAAAAAATCCTGTAGACTTACAAAGTTTATTGCAACGCTTTCCTTTTTCCTTAGCTGTCTAGCACCACCTACTGGAACATGTTTTCTGTAGCCAGAAATTCTTGTGGAATTTGCCTTTTGCAGAAAATATTACTGATAGACCTTGTTTGACTTATCCAATACCATTCCATCCATTTTGCTTCAAGATAGTGATGTATAATAGTCATCCTTATATCTAATCTCTGCTTTTAGTTTCTAACAAAAATCAACCACCATAGAAATTTACAATAAAAGCTTGCATGAAACTGTAGAGGATTCATAAATTTAATGCCACACAAAGAGAAAAAAGTTCAAAGATAAAGATCCTACAGAGATGTTTTTGTTTTGTGTTTTGGAGGCAATTGGAGTTAAGTGAGTTGCCCATGGTCACATAGCAACTAAGTATCTGAGGTCCAATTTGAACTCAGATCCTCCTGACTCCAGGGCTAGTGCTCTGTGAATTGTACTAGCTAGCTCCCCCAAGTTGTTTTTTTTTAATTACTTTTTATTGATATTTTACAACACTTGTATTTCCTAATTTATCCTTCCCTTTTCTCCCAGAGAGATAGCCTTTATAATAAAAAAAGAAGGGAAAAAATTTCAGCCAATATTGAAAAAATCTGCTATTATCTGCAGTGTTCTATACCCATATCCACCACCCTATTCCCATTGCCCCCCAAAAATAGAAAAGCTGGAAGTACCTTTTCATGAAATAAGACATTCTTTTTTTTTTTTTTAGTCATTCAGGATTTTTTTTTTAATTTATTTATTTTTAGTTTTCAACATTCACTTCCACAAGATTTTGAGTTCCAAGTTTTCTCCCATCTCATCCCTCTCCCATCCCAAGATGGCATGCATTCTGAATACCCCTTCTTCTAATCTGCCCTTTTATCTCTCCCCCCTTCTCTTATCCCCCTCCCCTTCAATTTTCCTGTAGGGCAGGATAGATTTCTATACGCCATTTCCTATACATCTCATTTTCGAGTTGCATGTGAAAACAATTTTTTTTTAACGTGTGTTTTTAAAACTTTGGGTTCCAAATTTTCTCCCTTCCTTCCTCCCCACCCACCCTCATTGAGAAGGCAAACAACTCAATACAGGTTATACATGTATAGTCATGCAAGAGATTAAACATTCTTAAGCCTAATTTAAGAATTATCTGGGAAAACTTAATCTGGTGAGATAATACCCTCACCACTCAAGTAAGTCCTGAGGCAGAGCTGGCCTGGCTGGGAGTGAGTACCCCAACATTCTTCACCTTTATATAACTTTCCCTTAACTGTCAGACAGGACCAGGGACTGGATATCTGCCCTGTTGCTACGTGCTTTCTTCACACACACACACACACACACACACCCCCAACCCACTTTCCTTTTTTTTTTTTAATAAATTAATTAATTTTTAGTTTTCAACAATCACTTCCATAAGCTTTTATTTATTTATTTATTATTTTTATATGAGGCAATTGCAGTCAAGTGACTTGCCCAGAGTCACACAGCTAGTGAGTGTTATGTGTCTGAGGTCGGATTTGAACTCAGGTTGTCCTGACTCCAGGGTTGGTGCTCTATTCATACTGCGCTACCTAGTTACCCCCATAAGCTTTTGAGTTTTAAATTTTCTGCCCCTCCCTTCCCACCTCCCTTCCCAAGACAGTGTGCAATCTGATATAGGCTCTACATATACATTCCTATTAAACATATTTTCACATTAGTCATGTTGTAAAGAAGAATTAGAACCAATAGGAAGAACCACAAGAAAGAAGAAACAAAACAGAAGAAAAGAAAAGAGCAAATAGTATACTTCAATGTGCATTCAAACTGCATAGTTCTCTGGATGTGGATAACATTTTCCAACATGAGACTTTTGGAGATGTCTTAAATCCCTGCATTGCTGAGAAGAGCTAAGTGTATCTGCAGTATCTGCAGCCACAATGTGGCTGTTACTGTGTATAACGTTCTCCTGGTTTTGCTCACTTCACTCAGCATCAGTCCATACAAGTCTTTCCAGGTTTTTCTGAAGTCCACTTGCTCATCATTTCTTATAGCACAATAGTATTCCATTACATTCATATACCACAACTTGTTTAGGTACTCCGCAGTTGTTGGGCATCCCCTTAATTTCCAATTCTTTGCCACCACAGCAAGAGCTACTATAAATATTTTTGTACATGTGGGTCCTTTTCCCATTTGTATGATCTCTTTGCCCAACCCTCTTTCTTTGGATTGAAAATCAAATCAACATCACCCTCATTGAGAGTGCTCAAGTCAAATCTACAAGCATTTATTAAGCACCTGCTGTGTGCCAGGCACAGTGCTAAACACAGTGCTAAAACACAGATACAAAGAAAGGCAGAAACCAGTAACTGCACTCAAGGAACTCACAGACTAATTTCATCTACGCTAATGAAGTAAGTACAATCTAAAAAAGTGGTAAGTAGTAAATAAAAGTTATGTTGCAAAAGAGTGTGTGTTCCATCACATTCTTTAGTAAACAAAAAGTAGAAATGCTTCCTTCCCTAACATTATTAATCGTATACTCATGTGATTTTAAAAAGAAAAACAAGAAAAAATATTTTCCATTCTTTAAGCAAAAAGTATGCCATTCTTATCAGAATAGACAGAGGGTCAAATTTAAGGAGTCGAATTTGTTGCTTGCTACTGGTTGGAGTGACTATCAGTACATATTCCTTTCATCTCTACCATCTCCTCCCTTTTCCCACTGTGATAAGGATGCTGAGTTGTTAGTACCTTCGAACACTTCAAAACCCATGGGAGTTACCTACTCATACTTTCCATGATAGGTCACTTTGAGTTTTTGTAGTGTAACCCATTTTCTCTTTATCTCCAACAGCTATAGTTCCTTCATGGTACTTTTTTCTTTGAGGGGGATGCTTATGCTGATCACAAACACTGCAAGGTGAGACGACCAAATGTTCTGTGAAATGTTTCTTGTTACCTTTGGGCACTTGATAAAAACCAACTCCTTTACTTCGTGCTCCAAGGAGAATCTGAGCTATCCATCATATGCAACTTTATCATATTTTTTGGTTGTGTTTATAGTGAGAATGTTAATAGTGACATAGGTCAGTTCTTTTAGTGACATGTGATCTTGCTGGTAGTTGGAAAAGGATCTCACACTGAGAGTACCAACAAATAAATTAATTCTTATGGTGTGGCCATTCATTCATTTCAGTCATGTCTGACTCTTTGTGACCCCCATCTGGGATTTTCTTGGCAAAGATACTGGAGTGGTTTGCCCTTTCCTTCTCCAGCTAATTTTACAGATGAGAAAACTGAACCAAACAGGGTGAAGTGACTTACCCAGGGTCACACAACTAATTAATGTCTCCAGTCATATTTGAACCCACATCTTCCTGACTCCAGGCCTTGTGCTTTGTCCACTCTGCCACCTAGCTGCCCAAAGACAACTGTCAGGACTTTAAAGACTTCTTTACTCTCTATATTTCCTTATCCCTGCCTGAACTGGCCGCACGCCGACCTTCTGCCGGCCGCACGCCAGTACCCTCTCCTCCTATAAGGAGCACACTACCAGAGTCATACTCACTTCCGAGTCTTCAGTACTCAGCTGGATAAACACACAGAGACGATCCATTGGGAGGCGCCAACACCAGAGCTTTATTCAGAGGCCATCACAGCAAGCCATCATAGCAAGCCCAAGCAGCAAGGCCAGAGCAACAGGGCAGGAGCCAGGAGAGAGAGCGCGTGATCTGACCACGCTTGTTCCTAAATACCTACCTAGCCCCTCCTCCCCAGCCCTCTTACTAGCCAATGATTGTAGGGTCAGATACCGGAAGGGGCTGTCTGAGTTTAGCACACCAAGGGGGAGGGAGTGACGTAGGAGGCTAGGACCGGATACAGGGAGGAGGCATCTGGGATTAGCGCATAGACAGAGTACGTGACCTAGGAAGTCAGACTCAGACACTGGGAGGAGGGGTCTGGGTCAGTGCTGCACAAAGGGACCCAGGAAGTCAGGAAGGTCACAAGAGGTGTCTGGGGATGACGTTGCATATAGGGAGGGGACTAAGCAAAGGGAACTCAGTCCTCTGCCGTCCCACTCCCACGTGGCACCGCCCCTTGCCTCAGGAGCTCAAGCTCCGGCTACTTCCTTGCACCCAGCTTATGTCACATAGCACTGCCCACTGCCTCAGGGCTTCTCCGTATCCAGCCCATCCCAGTTCACCACGACTCTGCCTACTCTGCCTCGACTTCCAAAATACCCAGATCTTACCCTACTCTTGCCACAGCGCTCAACCTGGTAGCTGCCAACATCAGACAGTCCCTCACACCTGCCTAAAAGCTTTGGCAGTTTTTTAGGCCTGTTTGGTGTCACTGTATTTCTGGGCCCTAACATAATTTACTTTTATTTTTCAAGCATCTTCATGACTGTATGGCTAGTGAGAATGGTGGTGCAATGGCATTCTCACATATTAATTAATATGGATAAAATAATGTGATAATTTTTTGACCCAGAGATGCCACTGATTGGTATATGCTCCATTGGAGTCAAAGACAGGGAAATATTCACATTCAAAATAAATATTCATAGCATTACCTTTTGTGGTAGAAAAGAACCTGAAACAAAGTAGATGCCCATTGATTGGGGGATGGCTAAACAAATTATGGTATATGAATATAAGAAATGTATACCATAAGGAAAGATGAATAAGAAGAATTCAGAGAAGCATGGAAAAATTTATATACTGATGCAGAATGAAGTAAGCAGAACCGATAAAACAATGTATATGATGACAGCAACAATCTCAAAACTGAATTCTGTATAATTATAATGACCAAGCTTGGCACTAGAAAAGAGATGACAAACTGTACTACACCCCTTTCTTTGCAGAGATGACAGACAGTAGGTGGGGAATAGTACATATAATTTTATAGTCACATGATAGTGATTAATTTGTTAAACTGCTCTTTTTCTTTTTTTATTCTTTGTTGCTGAGGAAGAAGGCTATTTTCAGAAATGTTAAGGTGTTATGAAAACAAAGATAATGAAAATGTTTAAATAGTATAAAATATATGGAGAAACCTTGAAAATTGTGGGTAAAAAATGATATTTCTTTTTTGAGGGGAATTAGATCTAGTTAATTAGATTTTTTAGTTATATGAAGATTCTAGTTATGAAAGTGCATTGTGATGAAAATAGGTTTTAAAAGTTCCTTTAGGGTCAGCTAGGTGGTGCAGTGGTTAGAGCACCAGCCCTGAAATCAGGAGGCCCTGAAGTCAGGAGGACCTGAGTTCAAATCCGACCTCAGACCAAACACTTAACACTTACTAGCTGTGTGACCGTGGACAAGTCACTTAACCCCAATTGCGTTAAAAAAAAAGTTCCTTTAAATTTAATTTTCTTTATTTTGGTGAACTTAATCATCAAGAATAAGAAACATTGAACTATTATGTAGATTTTATTTTAAGAAACACACATGCTTCTTAACATATATCATTATAGGCAGACATCCTTATAGGCATTCTAAAAAAAAAAAAACTGGGTGATTTTTAAAACCCTTTGTCTCTCTGCTTTTCTAGCATTTATGCTTATGATTATAGAACTGGAAAAAAGTCACACAAAGACAGGTCATTTTTTAATTTTTCTTATTTTCATGGCTTTCCAAGATCCCCGAATTCATCACCTGATGGTCAACTTTATGATGTTGCATCTCTGTACTTAGCTAGGCTGGTCCTCAGACAGCAGACTGTGCCTAGTACTGTAACTTGCTACATTTCCTATGTTTTTCCAGTGTGGTACAACCTGCCCATGCTTATGCTTTGCTTGTATGCAATAGAAAAGCCATAACGTGGAGTGAAAATTATTGTTATATCTTGCCTACAAATATTTGGGAAAGCAGGCTTTAGTTAAGGTGTTGAGGAAGTGACTGGACATTTTTGTTGAGATTTTAAGTGGGATTACTGGTCACTTTTAAGAAGTGGTTGTAGCTGTCATTTCAGATTCAGCTAGAAGGTATAATGAATTTTTCAGAGAATGATTTTCAGATATATCAAGGGTATGTTTGATGAAAAGATGAGAAGGGGATAGGCAGTCTTCACAAACAGTTTTATGCAACAGAGCACATCTTTAAAGTTATATAACTGACTAAAAGGTATAATGAATACCTAACCTTGATCTGTTGAATTCTTGTTAATTAATCACAAAGAAGGTAGGGCATTTCTTTCAATAAAGCAAATCATGGCCTTTGAGTCTCTTAGTTCACAAGGAATCTCTCAAGTGTATATACTAAGATCATATACAATTTCTTGATAACTGATTGTTCAGTGACCTTCTGACTGTCATTCAAAGCATAAAAATAGGAAAATATATATTATATTTGTCATGAGTGTTTGCTGCTGTCATTAAGAATTCCCTAGACCTTTTTAACATGTGTCGTGGACTGATTTTCAGAATTATATTTTAAATGCATAAAATAAAGCATACAGATTTATGAGGAAAATAATTATATTGAAACAGTTATCAAAGTGTTAAAAAAAGAATTCATGAACTACAGACCTCAATGACAACAGATGACCCTGACTCATGAGAACCAGCGACTGAGCAGGTATTATCTGCTTCATTGTAGCCCTTTTTGCTGCTGCTTCTTTTTAATGTCATTTCTTTAAGTCACTATGAACTGCAAAGTGTTGGCATCATCCACAACATGGACCAATGTGTTTAAATCTAGGCCTCATTCCTTCTGAATGGGAGAATTGAACCAAGCCTATCACTTTAAGTCTTCATTCTGTCACATTTGGTCACTTAGGAGAGCATGTCATTGCTTGTTGGTTTTTGTTTTGTTTTTGCTGTCTTTGAGGTTTTTTTTTCTCCAGTGTTAATGTATTGGCTTCTCACATCCTTGAAGTTAACATTGTCCAGTTATAGCCGTAAAACCATTTATGTAGAAAAAGGTTCACTAGAAGGTATTTAGGACCTTGCCGCTAAGGAGTCTGATAAGAGGAATATCTGCCAGTGCCCCCCACTATGTGAGCTGGGTTAGTTCTTTTTCTTGAAAGGTACTGAAACCATCCTCAAAACTTAATTGACTCAGGGACCCAAAGGTCCAGACCATTGACATTAATTCCTGGTCTTCTGAGTACAAAAAGCCATAGAGAGGTCCAGCTTCTTCCTGATGCTTGATTGACAAAACCACCATGGTCTTCTCAGGTACTCAGCTGAATCAACACATTGTCCTTGTTAAGTATTCTGGTTGACTCTCCATTATTTAACTGTTAGATGGACTATGAGTATCTCATTTAGTTCTAATAACGATGACTACTGAACCTCATCTCTTCTTTGTCACCTTCATTCCCTTTCCTGTATAATACTTCTCTGTATTCATTTTGTATTGCCCCAGGCAAATATAAGCTCCTTTAGGGTAGGGACTTTAATATTGATCTTTGTTTTAACAACACCTTGCATATAATGATGACTTAGGAAGTATTTCTCAAACTTAATCGTCCTGTGAAGGTGGGACTTAAACTTTGGGAATCTCCTTATCTTCTATTGATGATAGACTAGTTATGTTAATGTCTTGCTCAGAAATAACCCTTCAGGCCACTGGTCCATTGCAAGTATAGAGTAAATTAAACATTGGATATAGCAGACATAGTATACCTTCCTCAAATCTGCTTAGCACCAGAAATTAGGACCTACATGTCATAGTCTTATCCAGGTCCTCTCATTCCTGCAAGATCATAAGGGAAATAATATTAAATACAGGAATTAAATACAGGAAACTCCCAGATCCACCACTGAATGGGGGAAGGAGAGAATGGATAAAGCATTTATTAAGTACCTACCACATTCTAGTCACAATGCTGAGTGCTTTACAAACATTATCTCTTACGCTCAGTAAAGCCCTTTCTACTTCACTCCTAGCAGCGTTTTTATTTATCTGCACTTTTTTCATATCTGTGACCTTGTGTGTTTAACGTTTAGAAGCTGCGCTTCTGCCGTGCCAAGTAACAGTGCTGCATTGACAATATGCAGGTAGAAACAAGGAAGCAACAGTGCCTAAAGAGGCAGAGAGAAATCCTAAGCCAGGGGTGGGGAACCTGTGGCCTTGAGGCTACATGTGGCCTTCTAGGTCCTCAAGTGCAAAACTGGTTCAGTCAGAGGGCCACTGTAGCGTCTAGGCTGCAGGTTCCCCACCCCTGTGACCTAACTTCTTTCAGGAGTCCATAGGGTGGAAGAGTAGGAGAAGATCATTTGGTGCTAAATGATAGGTATGGGATTAATCTTAGGGAGAAACTGTATTCTCTAAGTATAAAGCAGAACCTTGTACTGTAACAAGGAAAGATTTGGATCAGCGAACAAAATGAGACCCTTGTGTGTATGTGTCATTCCTGCCTCAGGTGTACCATCGTAGTTATTGTCAGCTAGACATAGATCAGAGACCTCTGTTACTTTCCTAGGGTGTGTGCTTGGAATATGACCAAAAAAAAAAAAAATAAAGCCTCCTGAGACTTATTAAACCTAATGCCACTATTCTTGGTGGTACTGCCAGAAGGAATCTAAAAGTCATTACTGAGACCTATGAAGGCCTGGGGAGGAAATTGATTTCAGGTGTACACATGAGGTTCTTTTTTTTTTTTTTTTACTGCTAGCATTTAAATGTAAGGGCCTCAGAAAAGAGTTGGATTTAGGAAGTGAAGACCTGGCTAAAAAGAAGGTATCCGTACTTCTGGACCATACCTTAATATAAAGTCATGCCAGTTCTTGATCAGTTATACAGTATACCTAAAAAGGGCCTAAAATATATTGCTGGCAGGCTTGCAAAGCTTTTTTAAACCAAAGAGGAAAGGACAAAGGTATCTGAATATAGTTAGACACCTTATAGTAGAAAGCACAGCATAGGAAGAAAAACAGCAGTGGAGAGGATTAATAATCCATAAGAGACAATATCTAAGAGTGAATATGGTAATTTTAAAAAATGGATTCTGATCACCATCCACAAAATACAGTCAATAGGTAAAGTAGTGACCTTAATGCAGGCAGGCAGATTTAAGCCTTATGTGCATATGACTTTATAGGTTAGGCCTTGTGACTGAGATATGGCAACTTTATGGCTCAGTGGATAGAGAGCTGGGACTAGAGTCAGGAAGACCTGAGTTTAAGTCCATTCTCAGATACTTACTAGCTGCGTAATCCAGGGCAAATCTCTTAACCTTTTTTTTTCCCCTTGGGATAGCTGGCAAGGGATGGTGGAAAAAAGGTAGAAATACTTAACTCCTGTTGTGTTTTTGTTGTTTTTGTTTTTCTGCCAAGGAGAATGATCTTCTTTGGATTGGAAGGTTAGAGAAAAAATGACTAACAGGGAGTTGAGCCTAAGATAAGTGAGGAAGTGATAATAAAACATCCCCCTTAAAATGGGGATAATAATAGGACCTAATTCACAGGGTTGTTGAGAATATCAAATGAGATAATATATGTGAAGCACTTAGCACAGTGCCTAGCTCAGAATAGGCACCTAAATATTTATTGGCTGAATAACTGATGTGGGATCTCAACAAGTGGAATTTCCACTTGGATTCTGTCCTTGCCGAAAGTAGAGCTAATGCAGCCTGATTAATTGTAATGGCAAATCTTGGTCCAAAAAACTTGATGAGGAAACACTCTTCCTCCCTCATAAAGGAACAGGTTATGAAGAATGGGCACTATAAATTCAGAATGTGGCAAGTTGCCTTTTCTCAAATATTTCTCAAAATATTCTCTTTTGTTTTTTAGGGGTAGGGTTGGGGGTGGGGGGGATGGGAAGAGGATTAAAGAGAAATGATTGGTCACAAAAACAAAACAATAATTTAAAAGTCAAGCTACTGATACATTTTTGACTTGCCTTAATTCAATTCAACAAATATTAAGTGCCTACTACATGCAAGGCACTATACATGTATTAGGAATATAAAAATTAAAATAAGGCTTGCTCTCAAGAAGTTTATATCCCATTGGGAGAACACAGCATGGTTTAGATAATAATATAGCATAAGAAATGAAAGGGTAAAGGAGAGATCTAAGGATATTTTTATATAAGCTAGTTAGTCTACTTGGAATCAGGAAGACCTGAGTTCAAAAATGGCCTCAGACACTAGCTATGTGGCCATGGACAAGTCACTTAACCTGTTTTTGCCTCAGTTTCCTTATCTGTAAGATGAGGATAATAATATCACCTAGTTCCCAAGGTCTGTTGTGAGGATAAAATGAGATAATGGTTGTAAAGTGCTTTGCAAACCTTAAAGCCCTATACAATACTAGCTAATATGATTGCAGTAGCAGTTTGAGTAGGGAAAAAACACTGATGATTGTGGGAATTGAGAGAGCATCATGAAGGAGTTAGCACCTAAGATGAGCCTTCTGTAGGAGGATAAAGATTCTGAAAGGCCAAGTTGAAAATGCTTCCCAGGAATGGGAGAAAGCTTCTATGAGTCACAGAAATATGAGATGGCCTGGCATCATTAGGGAATAATTAACAGTACAGTTTGGCTGTAATCTAGGCTGCTTGAAGGGGAATAATGCAAAATAAGACAGGATGATAAGGTCAGAGCCAGAGGGGAGGGTCTTAAATGGCAAACTAAAGGATGTTAAGTCTTGTTTTGCAAAAGGATGACCAGAAAAGGTCTGAGACCACTTCTTGGGATAGCAGGTCCGTATGGTAGAGAAAATACAGGAATACTTAACTCCTGTTGTGTTTTTGTTGTTTTTGTTTTTCTGCCAAGGAGAATGATCCTTGGATTAGGAAGGTTAGAGGAAAAAAATGACTAACAGGGAGTTGAACCTAAGATAAGTGAAAAAGTGATAATAAAACATCTGGCTGCTCTCAGTAACTTCATGTTATTAGGACTGGATGAGTAATCCCAGGGTATGGAAAAACTGGCAGAAATTATTGTAAATCCTCTCATCATCTTTGAAAGTTGAGGAGAATGGAAGAGATACCGAAGGACTAGAAGAGAGCCCTCATCCCACTTTGTTAAAAGAAAAAAAGCAAAGAAGATGGAGTCTCCAAAGCTCCAGTGAGCTTTGGAAAAGAAAACAAATTGCTAAGAGACTAGCCATCTTTGTTTCGTCTTTTGACACTAAACTGCTAGATTAGCAGAAGGCTGTAGGGAGACAAACTTAATCTTAAAGCATTTGACAAAATCTTCAAAGTGATAGAAGTTACAAAGCAGCACATTTAGGCTTTGTATAAGGAAAAGCTTCTTAATTAAAGCCATCTAAAAGTGCAATAGGTTTACCTTGGGAGAGAATGGATTGTCCCACACTGGAAGACTTCAAGCACTTTGGTATGTTGCAGAGGAAACTCTTTCAATTATGGTTTGGACTAGATAGTAACTTAGTTTCAATTCTGAAATTCTGTGATTCTGTTAAATTTAAGGTTTGACCTTAATGACAGTATAGTTAAATGGATTCAGGATTGGTTGAATGACTAAAATAGTCATGAATTCATATCAGCTTTAAGGACATGTACTGGAGTGCCTGTAGAATATGTTTGTGGCCCTGTTGTTCAGTATTTTTTAATCAGTGACTTAGATTCTAATCAATGACTAAGATTCACAGAACAAATACCCTTAATAGAAGGATTTGTTTTGTAAAACTTGGACTCAGTCCAAAGACCTCACCCAAGGATCTAGAAGGACACATGTGGGCCCAAGTTCCCTACCCCTGACTTAGAATATAGATATCAAGCTTATCAGATTTGCAAGTGACATAAATTTAGGAAGGATTACTAACATTTTGGATGACAAAATCAGGAACCCAAATAATCTCAAACCAAAATGGTAAGCCAAATCTAAGAAGATGTTTAATAATGCTTTTGACTTAACCTTACACTTGCATTCAAAATAATCTCATAGGATTGGAGGCACATGGCTGGACACCAGATCATACTAAAAATATCTGTTGTTTTTAATGGTCTACAAGCACAATATGACTCAACATAGCAGCCAAACACCAAATCGATCTTAGATTGCATTAAGAAAGGTGTAATATACAGATTAAGATTGATGATAGACCTGCTATATTCTGTCATGGTCAGACACATTTGGAGTTTTTTTAAGTCATAGTTAGAATAACATTAATAAGGGTAGAGGGTGACCAGGAAGGTGTAAAGCTTTGAGACCATAATATATGAGAATTAAAGAACTTTGGATATTTATCTTCGAGAACTTTGGATATTTATTTTGGAGAAGAAATGACTTAATGGGTAATATGGGAGCCCTCTTAAAAGTATCTGGAGAAGATCATGTGGAAGAAGAATTCAGTTTCTTCCACCTGTGTCCAGAAGGTAGAACTTGGAGCAGCAGGTTGAAGGATCGATGGAAGGAAAACTTCATAGCAGTTTGAATTGTCTAAAAATAGAATGGGCCACAGTCATGTGGATCTGAAAATGTTTAGAAATGATGAGATTTTTTTATCCATCTTTTCAACCACCTTATATAAAAATAGATTATATTGTATTAGGGCCTGGTAGAAGACAGAACCTTATCAACAGGGATGTCACTTTCCACACCAAGGAGTTGTCAGTTTCATATAAATCAAACTGGAATCCTGAGCTGACTTTTACTTCTTTAAAGTAGAAATATCCTATAATAAATATAGTTACAACTATAAAATATCTTCAAAGTATACTTTCTCTTTGGATCAATCATTATTTATTTTCAGAAATTTTGTGCATCTTGAGTTCTAGTTTTACAAATCCAGACTTACAAAGTAATAAATTGTAGTGACTTGAACCTTTTAGTAACCTGTGTTGTGTTCCTCTGATTGGTACAGGACCTGATGCACTGCAGAGTCTTTGCAACAGTGGATGAATGTCATCTTGGTAATCTGTCTCCTGAATTAGGATCTCATGGATATATGGAAATAACCAATTTGCCTGGAGGTATATTTTTAATATGAAAGCCAAATTTGTTAAAAAATGTATTAGAAATAGAATTTGTTTTAAAGAAATAGTTGTCTGTGTCTTATTTATTTCACGAATTATTATATCAACATTTAGTACCTGCAGTCAGTTAGTCACTTTACACAAATAAGGCATTTATATGAAAAAAGAATAATGTATTTGAATATAAGCCAATTGTCTTAGACAAAAATAGCAAATTTTAAATAATTTATTTTTAGTTTTCAGCATTCACTTCCGTGGTATTTGAGTTTTAAATTTTCTCCTCCTCCCTCTCCTCCCCCTTCCCTAAGACAGTATGCAATCTGATATAGACCCTACTTATACATTCACATTAAACATATTTTCACATTAGTCATGATGTGAAGAAGAATAAGAACTAATGGGAGGAACCAAGAGAATAAAGCAATAAAACAAAACAACAAAGGAAAGACAGCACTTCATGTGTTTCTGTCTGCATTCAAACTCCAAAGTTCTTTCTCTGGATGTGGACGGCATTTTCCATCATTAGTCTTTTGGAGTTGTCTTAGATCCTTGCATTGCTGAGAAGAGCTAAGTCTATCAAAGTCAGTCATCGCAACAATGTGGCTGTTACTGTGTAATTCTGTGATTACTGTATAATCAATTGCTTCTGCTCATTTCACTCAGCATCAGTTCATACAAGTCTTTCCAGGTTTTTCTGAAGTCTGCCTGCTCATCATTTCTTATAGCACAGTAGTATTCCATCACATTCATATACCACAACTTGTTCAGCCATTCCCCAATTGATAGACATCCCCTCAATTTCCAGTACTTTGCCACCACAAAAAGAGCTGCTATAAATATTTTTGTATATGTGGTTCCAAAAATATCAATTTTTAAGATATTATTGTTAAATGCTTTGAGGTTAAGGTCCATTTCCTTTTATTTTTGTAAAATTTTAAAACTATATTACCTCTACAAAATTACTAGTCATAGGGATGCTAAATAATAAGACCATTTGGAGTAAAATGCCTATTGCTTATACATTCAGATACTTTAAAACTAAAATTCATGATCTAATAACCAGATATATTCTTTTAAAGTATAAAATAAGAGGAAAGGCTCCCTAAAAAAGAGGTGGCAGTGTTGGTAGTAGTCACAATTTTAGTCATGATTTTTAGGATAGTCTCAAGTAGGATTGTCTCAGTGAACGACGTTATTTGAATAAAAACATTATCACCTAGAAGGCAGAAACGTTATAGAGCAGTTGTACCTAACTATCCCTTATCCCCAAGGCAGAGAGCATTACACTGGAGACTCCACAGTATTTTGACAATCCTGTGAATGAGAATACCTACGCTTGGTTGCTAAGACAGACATAGCTCATCTGGAGTGATAAAACCCTTTCACTAGAGAGCTACAACACTTTCCTGACGTTGCGTTTCAGCAGCATCACTTTCTTACTGTCCAGACTGTTAGAAGGTCTAGTACATTTTCAATTTCTGGTCTGTAGACCACCATCTCAACTCTCTGGGGAGCTTTATTGAAATCATCTTACTCTTGTCACTCTTGTCCATGCTAAGTAAGTTGTCCACTTCTACAGGTATTTAAGTTGACTGTGGTACACTAAGAAGGAAAATTTAGGGTTTGGTTTCTCCCAGGACAATTTGGGAGAAGGTTAGAGGAAAGAATTTTTAAAAGTTAGGTCTCATTTGGTAGAAATCACTTGTGAATTCGTCTGGCCCTGAGGATTTTTTCTTATGGAACTCATCAATGGTTTGTTCAATTTCTTTTTTGAGAGAGTGCTATTTGAGTATTCTGTTTCCTCCTCTGTTAATCTGGGCAATTTATATTTTTGTAAATATTCATCCATTTCCCTTAGATTGTTAGATTTATTGGTATATAATTAGGCAAAAGAGCTCCTAATAATTGCTTCAATTTCCTCTTCACTGGTGGTTAATTCATCCTTTTCATTTTTGATAATGGTAATTTGGTTTTATTTTTCTTTTATAAATCAAATTAACCAATAGTTTATCTATTTTATTGTTTGTCCCCCCACAAAATCAGCTCTTAGTTTTATTCATTAAATGGTTTTCTTACTTTCACTTTTATTAATCTCTTCTTTGATTTTCAGGATTTCCAACTTGGTATTTAATTGGGGATTTTTAATTTGTTCCCTTTCTAACTTTTTTAGTTGCATGCCCAATTCATTAATCTGCTCTTTCTCTGTTTTATTAATGTAAGCGTTTAGAGATATAAGTTTTCCCCTAAGTACTGCTAGCTTGGCTGCATCCCACAAATTTTGGTATGGTATTTCATGGTTGTCATGCTCTTTAATGAAATTAATCATTGTTTTTATGATTTGTTCTTTGGCCCACTCATTCTTTAGGATTAGATTATTTATTTTCCAATTAATTTTAATCTATGTTCCCATGGTTTATTGAATATAATTTTTATTGCATTATTATGTGAAATAGATGCATTTAATATTTCTGCTTTTCTGGGTTTGATTGTGAGGATTTTTTGCACTAATACATAGTCAGTTTTTATGAGGGTGCTATGTACCACTGAGAAAAAAGGTATATTTCTTTCTGTTCTTCTTCAGTTTTCTCCAGAGGTCTATCATATCTAACTTTTCTAAACTTCTCCTTAACTTCTTTCTTTGTTTATTTTTTGGTTAGATTTATTTGGTTCTGAGAGGGGAAAGTTGAGGTCCCCCACAAGTATAGTTTTACTGTCTATTTCATCCTGTAACTCATTTAATTTTTCCTTTAAGAGTTTGGATGCTGTACCACTTAGTACATATGTGTTTAGTACTGATCCTACTTTATTATTGATAGTACCTTTTAGCATATTGTAGTTTCCCTGCTTATCTCTTCTAATTAGATCTATTTTTTACTTTTGCTTTATTTGAGATCATGATAGCTACCCCTGCTTTTTTTACTTCAGCTGAACATAATACAGTCTGCTACAGCCCTTTATTTTTACTCTGTGTTTGTTTCAAGTGTGTTTCTTGTAAACGGCATATTGTTGGATTCATTTTCTATCTAACCAAGTTTTTTCTTAATTTTAGCCTTCTTAATAAGCTTTTGGTCACCATCTTTGTGAGTTCTCCACCTGTCAAACAGAGTTGCTCTGGCCCAGGATCTACACAGAGCAGTGATCACAGTCCATCCTCCTTAATCAGGGATAAAGTAAATATATGAATATATCATTCAGCACTAGTGGCAAAGGATGCTGCTTATTAATTTACCCAGACTTAAAATAATTTCCATTTCCTTTCTTTAGTCACTCAGCCAAGGCTTAGACTGGCTGCCTTTCAAAAGAGGCTAAGTTGTTAAAGACTCCAGGAGTTCATTTCTTCCCAGCTTGGGAAGAGATGAAGCTATTGTGTGTTCAGAACTGGAGGGCAGAGTTTTTCTGTTGCAGCAGCAGTTTTCAATCTTTCTGGAGAGAGACATGGACAGAGTATTAAAGAAAGTTAGCCAAAGCTGCAGCAACAGCACCCCCAGCAGTAGAACATTTTGTAGGATGATATTTATGGGCTATATAGTTACTAGCATCTTTTTCTTTCCCTAGCTTATCCCTCTGTTTAGTGAGAGGTTTGACTGATTGTGCCTACTTGTGTAAACTTCTAGAATAGTGGGAAATTCACTTTTCTGTTTTATTGCCACATTCAAATGGAAGCCTGGTTCATTACTGTTTCTTTGCTACTTTCGATTTTAAATATTAGTTATTTATATTTTTAAACTATAGTTTGCTAGATGATCTTTTTAATGCATCCTGGGTTGGAGGGGAGGGTTGTCTGTTTGTTTCACCATAGAGAGGAGGATTAGGGCAAAACTCATAGAACAGAGTTAGGGCCACATGTGGTCTTCTAGGTCCTTGGTTGTGACCTTCTGACTGAGTCCAAGTTTTACAGAATAAATCCTTTTATTAAGGGGAGTGTGAAGTTTGGATTCAGTCAAAGGGCCATACTTAAGGACTTAGAGGGCCACAGGTTCCCTACCCCTGCTATAGATAATTAATTACAACAAATTTAACTGGCTGGGAAATCTTTCCAACTTGGTGATCAAAGTAATCAGTGGAGGTTCAGAGCTCTATGAATTTTGTTAATAATCTATTTTTAAGTTTTCTAATTGTGTTGAAAAGACACAAGGAACTGGGACCCTTGCCCTTTACTGAGCTAATCCTTGTATCTCCCAGCTGAAAGATTGATTTGAACCAAGGGACCTTTGAATTTTTTGCACCTCTCTAAGAGAAAGGAGAGCGGGAGTAGATCTCTGAGTGTGTGAAGTCAGGCATTGTTACTGAGATTCAATTTCATCCACTACTCTGAAGGGCAGTGCAGTGCTCCACATCCAAACTGACCTCCAAAGTCACATTCTTTGAGTTATGTTTATAGAAAAGAAAAAAAAACACTTAAACAGCTCTTGCATGGAAGATCTTGCATAATTTTTAAATGAGGGATGCTCTTAGATACAGCTCTGGTATGATCCTAAACAGTTTTCCCCTGAACCTATTATATGTAGCACCTCTTCTGGGGAACCCCCCCAAATAAAATATACAGGCTAAGTCACCTAGGGGAAGACTAGTCTGAGTCTAAGGATGTTCTGTAAGGTTAAACACCTAAAACTGTAGTCATAAACTGCCATTAGTATGTTTAACCTGCCTGTAGTCAGCCAAAAGATATAATTAGCTCAAAGCAAAGGCATTTACTGAAACAGCATGGTAAAAATCAGAAGAACATCTCCCTGATAAACTTGAGGTACATTTTTCCATAAATACACAAAATATCAGTGAGAAGAGCAGAAACAGTTCAGAAGTGGGCAAGGACACATGCAGTGAACACAAATGGCCAAAGTGAATAGGAGGAGAGGAAGCATATGCTTCCAATGCTACAGGCCTGCAGGTGGGCACTGAAGTCCTTAGAGTGCTCCCACTGACCTTGCTTTCTAAGTCTCGCCACATACTCAACTAGTGTCTGCCTCGTAGTCATCACTCACTATAGTCATCAGTGA